GCCCGGCCCCGGCCCCGGCCCCGGCCCCAGCCCCTCCCACGGGCTCTGCAGCCTTGGGGGGGGTGGGGGCGCTAGAGGGCGCTGTGGCACAACCCGCCCACTCCAAGCTCTGCGCGGTTGCCCCACCTTGGCACCCGGAAGTGCTTCCGCCGGAACCGGAAGTGGATGCAAAGGCGTCCGAGTCGGCGGTTGCTTCCCGGAAACGAGGTTCGGCGACTGCCGTTGCCATGTGCGAGGCGGAGGAGGCCGCGACGGCGGCCGCGGTCACCATCGGCGCCACCGTGCCCACGGGCTTCGAGCTGACGGCGGCCGCCGAGGTGGAGGAGAAGCTGGGCTCGCGCTGCAGCGTGCGCCGCGACCGCGGAAAGATCTACTTCACCGTCGCCGCCGAGGCCCTGGCGCAGGTGCACGGGGAGGAGGGAGGGGCCCCGCTGCGAGGGGCAGAGCCATCAGGCTGTCACCGTCGCGAGATCCCCGCCCCGGAGCAGCTCCGCGCCCGCCAGCGCGGCTGGGGCTGGTCTCCATGGAAATCCAGGCCCCGCGCTGCTCTCAGGGTCTCCATGGAAAGCGGCCGGGGCCGAATCCGGCTGAATCCACTATTTCGCCCAGCCCTGGCCTAGGCCTAGACCCACCAAGCAGGGACCTAACTGAACCTTGGTGGAGGCTCGTGGTGCAGAAGGACTTCAGTGTCACTCGTATCACCACGCTCCTCCCTCACTGCCACGGTGTGGCCGAGGGACAGTTGATGGTGAGGGAGGTTTTTGCCTTGCCATTCAGCCCCTGTGTGGGTGTGGGGGGAGCGTGAGATTAAAGACACTGCTGCACTGCAAGCTTCCACCATGGTTTAGATAGACCCTGAACTATAAGCCTTCCTTAAGGAAGAGACCACTGAGGACATAGCAGTTGATTCCTTGGGATAAATAAGCAGGAAAGGCGAGGGTCGTACATTCAGAACAAGTGCACCAAGTGGGGGGACACAGATCTGTTTGTTGACCCTGGCCAAGGTCGGCCACAAAAACACTATACACCTGGCTTAGAAAGGGAGGCCACTGGATAGGCAACAACTGATTGCCTGGGACAGCTAAAGACATAATAGGGATGGGAGCAATAGACAGAGGTTTAAAACCAGTGTGCCAAGGGGGGACACGGAGCAGAGCACGCTGGACTGTGCGACAGGAGACTGGGTGAGATGGACCCAGTCTGACCCAGGAAATGTCAGTTCTCATGTTCTTATGGCTGCATTTCCTGGCAAGCTGCAAGAGGCAGCCTGTTCAGACCCAGAGACCTGTGTATGTTACAATGCTGGGAGAGGCAAGACTTAGGGTAAGAACTTTTATTGGACCAGCTCCACAGTTGGGAGAGAGTTAGACCAGCTTTCCAATGCAGGACATTCTTCCTCAGGTCTGAGCAGTAAAAGCTGGTACAACATGCAGCACAGACCTAAGGAAAAGTGTCCAGCATTTCATGACTTACAGAGGTCTCTAGGTTTGAATAGGCTGGCTCTTAAATAGCAAACTATACAACTTCTAAGCATCTCTTTAAAGAAAAAAACAACCCACAAAACTATCCTGATTCTTTGTCTTCACTTGACCTTTTTACCTAAAAACAAAAGGCATTAGAAAATTGCAAATAACTGTAAGCCTCCCCATTATTGGCAAATTATTCTTGTTATAAATAACAATTTATGTTTTATATGCACATTTACATACAATTTTACGTATAAATATGTTTTGAACTATTTGTCTCTGCCACTGTTCAGGAGCTGAGTTCAGGTTGGTTTGGGTTTTTTTTTGGGGGGGGGGTGGTTTTATAACACTAGATGAAGTCAAAAGCAAAAGAAATTACTCTCCTTGTTCTACTTCAGTCTTGGTGACTACATGTGCTAAAGAGAAGCTAGGTGTGTACACACAAAAAGGAGTGAAAAAGAAACCAGAAGCTTATCTCTGTTAAAGCATTCAGAATTCAGTGAGGTATAGGTATCCAGCTATCTTAATTTGAAATGTAACTGAATGAAATTTTAATTACAGGTATTTACAAATACCAGGAACATGCCACTTTTGTTTCCATTTTTTTTAGGTTCATCAGTTAAGATCAGTGGATAACTTATTTGTTGTTGTGAAAGAGTTTACAGATTACCAGTTTAAAGAAACCAAGGTGAGCTAACTTTGTACCTGGATTTTCAGGCAGGTGTGATTTTTATTTTTTTTTAATTATTACTAGGCACAGAATTCCTGAAAGATTATGTGTGGAGTTTATTTTTTGTTTTGTTTTAATGTAAAATTAAACTTAGAAGTGTTCTGAGTCTTCTGGGCAGAATTATTTTTTTATTCCCCCCCCCCCGCACTTGCCAGATTTCTCTTAAACATTTGTTCAAATCAAAGGACAACAATACAGTGTAGCACATATGTGCAACAATGCAGTGTAGAACATATCAGTTGCACATGTTGCTTAGGAATATCTAGATGTGGAGAAAATGGGATGCTGCAGCTCGTATGGAGGTAACCAGAATATACTATGTCCTTAGTCTTTTAAATTAAGATGAACCATAAAATCTACCAAGATTAATTATTAAGTATTCTGGTGCTCCTGGGGCTCTTAGGCGAGATCCAGACATGCAGGCATGTGCAGTTTGTGGCACCGCAAACCACACATGTTGCATATTAAGCTGTGCATGGTACCTGCTAATTATTAGCACTGGGGCAAAATTTACTATCAGGATTTCCAGGTAGCAAAAAAAAAAAAAATCCCTGGAAAAAAAGGCAGCACAAAGCATGCCAAAGTGCTATCTGTGCCAGGAGAAACACAGAAATGGGAGAGCTGCAGTGCACAGCCCTGCTTGTGTTTTGCAATGGTACACACTGTCCCACTGCTCCATGTGATGCAGGGGTGACAGGCATCCCCCATGCTGAAGCACCCTGTGCCCCCGCCACCTGGGGAGTGGGCTGCCTGCTCCCATCTCAGTGTACTGTGGAGCCCCTGCCCTGAGACACCCTGCACCCTAGCCAGCCACTCCCTGGCTCATTGGGGCACAGCATGCCTCCAGGTAGGGGAGCAAACAGTCCAGGACTGCCTGCTCCCTCATCTCCATGTGCTACTCCGTAGCTGGCTGGGGTACAGGGTGCCTCAGTGTAGGGGGATGCCTGCTGGCTAACCCCTGGCAGAGGCAGCCTGTGCCCTAGCCAGCCCCCACTGCAGCACATGGAGTAGTGGAACAACTTTGTGCCACTACTATTTGTACTGCTGCAAATGCACACCCCTGCTCACCTGGATGCAGCCTTAGACTACAGTTCCATTCTCAGTTGTGATACCACATATGGCAGATAAGATATAAGTGTTTAAAATATGCACTAGGTTAAAAAAAAAAAAAAGTATATCTGGTTGGTGAGGTGATTTTAGCAAAGGGAAGGCTTACCATTAAAAGAATGCCAAAGAGAATGACTTTTTTGAATCTTTTAAAGGAAGAGTCTCTAAAGGATTTGGAAGACCTGGTTAAACAACTGCCTTGGACAGACCCTTTGAAAGTATGGAAGCTAAACACCAGCCTAAAGAAGAAAAAGACAAAACGTAAAAAACAGAACCCACAGGGTAGTGCAAGCAAAGAAAACTTGAGTGAGGGAGAAGGGGAGGAGAAAACAGATACAAAAGATGCTGATAAGAAGTCAGATGATCAGGCACAAAATGCTTTAGGTTTGGAATCTACTGGCGGACAGGAGACCCAGGCTATTATCTCGGTAGATAACGGCGAACAATCTGGTGCTAAAGATGAATTCCTCACTACTGCTGGAAGTGGAAATGGAGCTGGTGACTGCAACAAGGAATCTGAAAATGAAGCCCCAGTGCTGAAGTTCCGCGTTACATGCAATAGAGCTGGTGACAAACATAATTTTACATCAAATGATGCAGCAAGAGACTTTGGCGGAGCAGTGCAAGAACATTTCCAGTGGAAGGCTGACATGACCAACTTTGATGTGGAGGTATTACACACCAGAGACTTCAGAAATACCCACTTACATGTAGTTACTTGCTTAGCTTAAATGGAGGTGCTGCTGTATGTTGTGGCATTAATGCATCTTGGTTTAATCCAATGTGTTTTATATCTGTGTGAGATTGTTCGACCACAGACCATACCACTAACTGAAAAGCAGGTCTGTGGTCGAACAATTTGTCTCGTGAATCTTTTGGTGTCCAGCTCAGTATTGTTAAGGACAGTTTTCAGTGCTGTCTGTAGTTTTCTCTGTAGTTCAGGGAACCAGAACTAGAGGTATGTATTGCCAGTCTGATGTCCTAGGACTATGATGATTTACCCGTCTCTGTTTCCTTTTCCTACCTATAAACTTAGGACAGCACAGAGAGAATGTGTAGCTTAATGTTTAGGACACTTTGGAAAATAGGGGTGTAGAAAACACACCATGTCTGAGGAAAAAATTAGACTCAGTTCCTGAAATGTTACTTACTGCAAAACTTTTTTTCCTAAGAACATGTAGGGCTTCATGAATGCATTCCATTGTTCAAAATTCATTCCAGGTCCTCTTGAACATTCATAATAATGAAGTGGTTGTGGGCATTGCATTAACTGAAGAAAGTCTTCACAGAAGAAATATTACACATTTTGGACCCACAACTCTTCGATCTACTCTTGCCTATGGGATGCTCAGGTCAGTACAGGTAGTTATAGATTATTTCTAAATTCCCATGTAATATTCTGGAAACTAAATCCAGTTAGCCCCGATATATGCGCATACTTCTTGTTTGGGGGGGCTGTTTTCTTGGTCATTTTTTCCTGATTAGGCTTTTTTCTTAACTTTAAATAAAGAGCTCAAATATCACAAATATTTTGTAGTTACTGATAGTCACAATGATGGGTTTGATGGTTTCTTAACCATAAGGCCAGGCAAGTATATGTTTTGCATTGACCATAACAATTTTCAAACATTTTTATGCCATCCATCAAAATATTTTAATATTTCCCCATCAGTGGGTGCTTCTACATGAAATGCTATGTCGTTGTAGCAAAGCACTACAACAGCTGTGGCGTCATGGATTGTGCCTGCCGATGCTATGTCACCATAGTGATGCACTCCCTTCCTATAGTGTGTTGCTATGGTGAAGTAGCAACTAAAAATAACTGTGCTGGTGGCACAGTGCAGTAATGGCTGTTACTGTGCTGTCATTTAGTACTTCCTTTACATGACGGCATAGAAACAGTGGCACCGTAGGGGCACGTGCCCACTGTGTATAAAACCTGAACATTGTTTACAAATGGTTGCTAAAGTCTGCTCTTGTAGGAATGGTAGAATTTGAATAATTTAAATAGTAGTTTAGTTTAACTTCTCTGTAGAAACTGCTGTTAAGACTTTTCATGAATATTTCTTCCTTCTCTGTTTAGACTCTGTGATGCTCAGCCAAGTGATATAATAGTTGATCCAATGTGTGGAACAGGTGCAATACCAATAGAGGTAATTGTTCCTTTGTTTTTAATTTTTGGGTTTTTAGCTTAAAAGAAAGCCTAGCTAGGCTGTAGCCTCCCCTAAGAGCAAGTCTCACCAAATCCTGCATACTTCACAGCAGTAGATTACATGCAGACTTTTTCACTAGTATTCTGCAGTTCCAATAGCCAAATATCAAAGAAAGATATTTCAATTTAATTACAAATATACTTTTCCTAAATGGTTGCACCTTCTTCATGCAAGACATAGGTGGAAGTAGCTAAATGTCAGAGTCTTGTCAGCCCCCTGAAGAGCTCTGATCTCTGAAATAAATATACAATAGGAAGTTTTAAGCTGTTGAAGTATATTTGTAATTGTTTTGTGTTGTTTTCTGATGTGCAGGTAGCTTTCCAAACTTTTTTCTTAATCTACCAATTCAAGTTTAACAGACTTTTGTTTTCAGGGAGCTACTGAGTGGCCTAACTGTTTCCATATTGCTGGTGATAACAACCCACAGGCTATGAAGAGAATAGCAAGTAACATCTGCTCTCTACTAAAGAAAAATCAGAATCAGGAAAGGTAGGAAAAGTATAAGAGGGATGGTCACAACTCTTTGTATCAGGAAATCTATTTTTCAGAAATGTGCTTTATTTGGTTTTCCATATTTTCCTATTACATTATGATGCCAAGGGCATTTGAGTTGGAAAAAACCATTTGAAATAATAGATCACACTTGAAATGAATACCTTTGCACTTGCAGTAGTACTTCCTGGGGTGTATCCCTTGATACCGTCCAGTGGGATATTTGCAATCTCCCTTTGAGGACTGGATCTGTGGATGTTATTGTAACAGACATGCCATTTGGAAAGAGGTGAGAATCATAATTTCTCTTATGTTTATTTTGGGGGGGGGGGGGTATTTAAGCTGCTATATTTGAACAACTGTTGTTATTGCTGCTAAAGTTTAAGATCTGTTAGAATTTCTAGAATCTTTAACTTTGTCATAATTCTCAGTACTTGTGTATCTTTGAAGCACATACAATCTTGCAGATTCACTCTTGACTGAATGATGAAGTAAAATGATTTGTTATACATTTTCAAACTACTCAGTTCAGCAGTTTTGAGCTACACGTTGTAAAAGGGCTTTCAGTTTTCTTTGGTTCTTTGATATATTTTGAATCAAAAAAGTGTTTGAGGGTTTCATAGGATGCTCTGATTCATTATACTAAACAGTAAAAACCATTATTTCCTTAATGTGTAGGGTTTTATGACATTAAGATTCACCTCCGTGTCTTGCCTTTACAAGTCCAGTAGAGCCAAACTGATACATGAGATGTGTAGGTGGAAACAAGTAGTAAAAATGATCTTGAACAAGTTAATTCATGCTAACTGAAAATGAACTAATTTCAACTGTACTTCATAGGCACATTTACTATATCGATCCAAATTTTATTCCAGAATAGGGTCTAAGAAGAAAAACTGGGATCTCTATCCAGCCTGCCTTAAGGAAATGAGTCGGATCTGCAGGCCTGGGACAGGCAGAGCCGTACTACTTACTCAGGACAAGAAGTGCTTTGCTAAGGTACACCATTGCATTCATTTAGACATTAATCATGATTTTGATGGTCATAAAACATATCCAAAGATGCAGAAAAATCAAGTTATCTAGACCTAGAACACCATTGAAAATAAGCCAGTACTTGAATTAAAAATGTTCCACCTAAAAACATGCTATGGTTTTTTTTCCCCACAGTAGAGGCTCAGATCATTTTCTGAGACATGGGCTTTTTGCTATCCAAATAAATTTCAGAAATGAATTAGACTTAAGTTTATCCATGTAACTTAATAAAACTATAGCCAATATACAGAATTTCCTGCTTTGATTGTTTACCACCCATCTAGAGATTCTGATGCCTCATGGGTCAAATCTGAATTTTTAGTAGAGCCTTAGAAAAATCCACCTGACACACTTAATTCGACTCTCTTGTATCAAACGTGTATGCACATGCCAACATTAAAAGCAAAAAGATTAATTGAAACATATTGAAACAACGTTAGAAAAAACTGTCCGTGTCTACATTGTAAGCTCACCATCATTGGAGATAGGGCCTTAAAGCATGCTGCACTAGTTTGGTAGGCCACCTGAACCAGAAGCAGTGCAACTGCCACCACTTAGCACAGAAGGCTTGGTAAGTAGCTCTACTGAATGATTAGCATGTCCCTAAGCTAAATAAGGGCAGCTACACGGCTTCTGGTTCAAGAGGCAGCCCAGAGCAATGCAGTACAGTGCAGTGTGCTCTGCTGGGGATGGTGAGTTTATCATATATACATAGTATCCTTCAGAGAGAGGGGGGGAAAACCTTTCCAGTTCCCAAATTTCAGTCCCAGATGCACACATTCAGCTCATTACTCCTCCCCCCCCAAAAAACTAAGGAAAATAACTGTTTTGCTCCATGTTCTGAATGTCCCTAACACTAAGGTGAGCAGATGTAGGAAGCAAAGTGAATAGCTGTAATGGAATACATGGTGTGTGATGTTCAACTTCGAATGGCCTAGAAGAGCACTTTTAAGTACAGTTAATTTGTGCACTAAAAGGACCCCTGAAATTAAGGCAGATCAATATGGCTTTAAAATTGCAATACATGTTAAATAATAAATTACATCTAGGTTGCAGAGTCAAACACAAAGTTAGGAAATACCAGAATTGCTTATGCCACCTTAATTCAGTTTCCTTGAGTAGATGCTTTAAGGGAATCTAATCAAACATCACATAGGAAGTCCATCAAAGCCTGAAACAGGTCTCTGAAGTCCGAATGTAATGTGTAAAAAATGAGACTATGCTTTGTGTTCTTGCAACCTTCTGCCTACTTCACTGCCCATCTTATACAGAGAACGAGCCAGGGATCTCAGTAAAACAGAGCACAATCATGTCATCAAAAACTAGCAGAATAAGTACATGTAAAAGGCAACCTTAACATTCTCTGACATTTCAATTCCTGTCCCAAAACATGGAAGTGTTGGAGCTTTTCAAAGAAAGGCGTGGGGAAAATTTGGAAAATTTAACATTGGTAAAACTATCAAGTTCACTTAACCTCACTCTTTGAAAAGGCTGAAGGGCTTTCACGGAGACTTTAAAAACTAGGATTTGAGGCAGAGAGAAAATTGTATGGAAAGTTTTAGCCTTTAATAGTCACTTTGGTTATTGAATAAAAGGCTTATAATAGACCATGTTAAGCAACCTTAATCATAAGTTTCAGAACCAGCTCCACCAATAGTAATTGTCTTCTCTTTTTTTTGCACATAGGCCTTGTCAGAAATGGGATGCTTATGGCAAAAGGGTCCGACAGTCTGGGTGAACGTAGGGGGACTTCATGCTGCAGTGTATCTTCTGAAACGTACCTCAGAGGAAGTGGGAGAGAACAGATCACGCTGGTAAATGCAAGTGGTGGAGAACATGATAAACATGATCCTCTCCTCTAAATTTCTTGGAAAGCTACTTAGGTAAAGCAAGTGCCAGGTCTACCAATTCTTAGGAACATTGAAGAGAGCACTGAAAAAAATGCATATATAGATTCCGTTTAATGAATACTGATCCAGGGATCAACTTGGAAAGTGGCAGTTCTACTCTGTGCTCTGGAACCTTCTCAATTTTGAAGCCAAATAAGGGAAAAAAAGAAAAGGAAAGAAAGAAAGAGTGCAAAATCTACAAGTGGAATTAGCAACATTTCCATGTGCCTGAGTCTTTGTTACTACATTTGTTTTTCAGTTAAATGGGAATATCTGATGTTCACAACTGAAAACGTTATTGAAGCATTTTGAGAGGTAGCAGGCTGGCCTTTATTTCCCGCCTCCCCCCACCAAATTTGCAGAAATTGTACGAAGATCATAAAATTGATGTACAAGACTGCTGATGACAGTTGTCTTTAGTTTGAGGGGTTGGGTGATGATATAATTTAACGGAAGGCTTTTTTTCTCCCTCCCTGCCGAGAGAGAACTCTCCTTTTTGTTCTTAGTTCATACTTTTGCCAAAATATAAGCGTAACAAAGCAGTCCATGCTTTGATAAAGAACTGGCATCTGTTTTTCAGTACAGAGATCCTGCTGCTTATGTTTTTACCTGCTACCTCAACTAACTGTTAATTCAGCAAACACTTCCTTTATATTTATGTACTATTACTTCGGTTGGGTGGTGAAGTGTACAATCTGCCTTAACAGAATGTGTCTAGTGATAACTGAATACAAATAATTCTACAGAAATACTGTAGCACTAATATACTGCTGTATGTTTCCTATGTCTAGCATGAGCAGATTAAGATGGTTGTAATACAGTTAAGTTGAACTAGATTCCTGTTGAAATGGTGACACAGCTTACAGCTATGTGGTAAGAGCAGAATAAATACAGACTGTCATGATTCTTGTTCCTTTTGTAAACTAAGCATATTAAGAAACTACTTACATTATTTTATTAGAGGTGAAAATTCAAGTTAATTGGACAGTGCATAAGTTTACATCACTTTTCCCCTCTTAAATACTCGTTTTTACTTCTAAAAGCATTTAAGTTCTAGATGTTTCCAATAAGAGTTGAGTTCCTTAGAAATTTTCCCTCTTGACTGCATTCATTCTCTGTTTCTACTGTAGTGAGGTTTCCATGCAACTTTTAATATCTACAGTACAAGTCTCTTCACATAGAAAGAGAAGTACCAGCAGTGTTACCATTGTAATAAAGGTATTGGAGACATTTTGTCCCCCATGTGGCCACACTGAGCTATAATGCCCAGCAACAGTTCTTGCATGAAATGAGTGATTTGTTTTTCAAACATTCTCTACTGCACTGAACTCTATTACATCCAGATTCATAATGTAATATTAGGATCTTAAAATAGATTACCTTGGATTTGAGTTCTGGTTACTTGTTACCATTGTCTATAATAAAGAACAAGCTTAATAGCTTAAAAAACAAAAAAGTCTCATGCATTTAAAATGTTTATCACAGTTTCCTTAAGATTAAAATAAATTTCATAAGCTACCAGTCATCTCGAATAAAGATCTGTTTTTGAAAACTCCAGCTAACTACATGCATATTTCATAACTTAAATGATTATAAAAAGCATTTACTAGTGAAAGTTAGGCAACTTCAAAATAAGCAAGCAGTAACTAAAATTGCGAAGTGAAACTGCATTGTTGAGATGGGAATACATGTCTGATCCAAGATACACTAAGAAATACAGTTTCACATGCATCGTGGAAAAATAATTCAAAATAGGTTTGAAAATATGCAAAAAGATGGTAATAATGTGCATTGTTGGATGCAATTGTTGTTCTTGCACAAACCCATTCTCTAATTAAAGAAGCTAATTTAAAGGCTTTTCTTTTGACAGGTAAGACTCAGGGTATTGTAAGAAATGACTAAAGACACAAATAACTGTTCGCTGTTTTTCATGACAGTCAGCCTGTTTGTTCATGCAGGCTCTAGAAATCCACAAGTTTGGGTACATTTAGGTATCTGAAGTAAATACTGTTCTACTTCCTTGCACTTTCCTTTTGATTTTTTTTCTTCAGTGACATAACACTGTTTGTAAAAGAGCATCAAGCAAGTCTACCTCTGACTGATTTCAGAAACAGGCAGTTTTGACTATGCTCATACATGTATTAGAGTAGATGTGCCTGACAGCCTTCTGCAGTGACACTTCCAGAGTATACTCACTGCCCAAGAGACACTTACTTCATTCTTTTTCATTTGTTGAGATTTTTTTGGATAAAAGAATTACATGGAAACCAATAAAGTGTGTGTAGCAGTCACTTCACCACATGCTGGATATATATATGGCACTATTAAGACACAGTAGGAAATGTGCTTCTCTGACATTTCATCATGTAATTTATCATAATCATGGAAAAATTAGAGACCTAATTTAATATATTACCATCTCCCACAAGGTTTGGGGAGGGGGGTCTGGGGATTTGGGTTTTTATTTCTCCAGCATGTACTCACTGGCATCCCTCCATTTCTGGCAGAAACGTGTGTTAGTCAGTTTTTTGAGCATGCATAGAGCCCTATACTCAGGGAATGTGGAAGCAATTTGCGTTTCAGTTCAATCCGTTGAATTGTGTTTGCCAAAGCTGCTTTCCGAAAAACTTGCCACTGCACCACCCGCTGTAGCTGTTCCTTTAGCTTGGCCTCACTGGGGTAGGAATGTTCCTGTGGAAAAGAATCATGACCAAGTCTAAATCTGAGGCATAAAAAACTTTGTGCACTGATACACTTACAAAAGTGTGTCAGAGGTAAGCCAATATGAATTCGTTACATTTAACAACAACAACAAAGCAACAATACTGGCTATGACTGTATGGTTGCTTTGCAGAGGCAAAGTCTACAGGCAGAGTGCTTACACATATTCCCTAACACTTTTCAGTCTATATGTTGACTTCTAACGGCCATAATACTTATTTACCTAAGCTGTTCAGTCAGGGAACAGAAATAATGCCAGCATGGTCCAATGTTTACTAAAAGTAATCCAACAGCAAAACTTAGAAACCTGAATTTCACCTAAGCAAAATTCAGATAAGTGTAACAACAACAACAAACGTGGATTAAAGGGACTGTGCAAATATTAAGGCACAAGCCTAGAACTCAGAACTGTTCTGTCTGCCTGTGTTTCTGGGAGCTGTATGAGAGGACTGGATCAAGAAGGGCTGCAACATTAGCCAGCTCTCCCGCTTGCTATAGGTTGATCAGAGAACTGTAATGCAGGAAAGCACGCATGCATGCTACAGCCCTACATGTGGGGTAGTTTTACTGGTCTGCTGCAACACTTGCATAACAGCACCCCTGAAAGAGGGACTTCAGCCCCCGCAGCTAAGAATGACTGGTTTAAGTATTCTACTGTAACACCAGGCTTAGCCTCTGAATTTTTTTTTCCTGGAGCAGTATAAAGGAAAAAACAAACTGAATAAACTTTTTATAGTAAAAAAACCCTTACTGAAGTTTTTGACTATGTCCAGGAAGCAGAATAGAAAGTCAAAATCCCATTCTTAACTCAAAGGCTGGTACAAACAGCTGTCCAAGCAACAGTTTTATTTCACTAAAGCAGGTAAAACAATCCCCAATTATGAAATTGCTTGTATGAGTCATGACAGATAGCATCCTTCAGGTCACCATGAGCTGCCTGCTGCAAATAGGCACCTTTCTACAGTGCCACCATCTGTCTGATGCCACCAAAATGCTCTGAAAACAGGGAAGCTCCCAGGCTCTGAGTTGGCCCACAGCAACTACCTGTTCTCACAAGCTCAAGTTTACCTGGAAACTATCATGAGCTCAGTGTTTTTTTCTGAATCTGACTTCAGAATGAGGCTCTCCACGTGCAAGCAGGGAAACTTGTACTTGGTTACTGTATTGTTGATGTTAATAAAAAAGACAGCTAACTCCAGACTATCATTTCACCGTATTTGCACAAGGCTAGGCAAAGATACAGTGATTCTTCCATCTTCCCATAACTGAAACCAGCCTTTGTGGGAGATTTACTTAAAGAAAAAGTGAACCCCTACCCAACTGAAGTTTTTGCAGTCAGTGTGATTCTATTTCACTGTACTCCATCTTTTCAACATTAATTATATAGGGCAGAAATCATACAGAGCTCATTTTGCCTGCTCATTCCAACAAGACCATCTCCTTTCCTGCTGCTGAAGCCATGCTGATAACCATCACATGCCTACCACTCAATACTTTGGAGGTGAGCCCTTCTGATGAGTTTCTAAGAGGCACAGACATGAACGCTGCGTGCCACCAGAGGCTGGGGAGGACATGGCAACCACCTGCAGGCGGCGGTGGCAGGGGCATGGCAGCAGCAAGCAGGGAGCTCCTACAGGTGGCTACAGTGGTGTTGGTGGCAGGGGGTGGAAAGCACAGACTGGTGGTCGGCAACCACCTGCAGATGCTGCTGGCAGCGGTCAGTGGCGATCAGGGACCTCCCACAGACACCACCAGCGATGTCGGGGGCAAAGCAGAGATAGCAACCGCCCACAGGCCAGTGGCGCTTTCCACAGGGGGTGCACCACCAATCTTAGGGGGTGTACATGCACCCACATGCACCCCCTATGCATCGCCAATGGGCAAAGAATTCAATTCTCAGGAGAAAGGGCTCTACAGTGACTTTAAACCACTTTTACAGTCACTTGAAGCTGAGCCACTCTGTTCAGGCTAGCTGCTGTGGGACCAAGGACTGTGAAGGCCCTAAAAGCCGCAGACTGGAACTGGCACATACAACGCTTCTCATCAGCAGATTTCAAAGCACTTCACACAAGAGGCCTGTATTGTTATCTCCATTTTTCCAATGGGGAAACCGAGGCACAGACTAGGGATGCCTGTCCAACATTCCATCCAACAGGACCTTCTTCCACCCTTTCACCTGGCACAAAGGGGCCAGTGATGAGTTTAGTGAGGGCCTCAGAACCTCACCTTAAGTGCCCCTCTAAATTAGAGGGAAACCTGTGTATGCAGCAGAATTAGAGGCTCTAATTCTGCTGCATACACAGGTTTCCCTCGCTTTATGCTGTACATGCGTTTCAGGAAAACTCCGTATAACTCAAATTCACATAAAGGGAAACTTAGTATATATAAGATATTAAATAGGGATATGTTCCCACAGTGGTGAGAGGGAGGAGCTGGGGCTAGAGCAGGCACTGCACAGCTGGGACGGGGCACAGGATGGGAAACATGGCTCCCACTGCTACGTGCACCCCAGGAGGGCATGGGGGCGTGTGCCCCTGGATCTGCGTGCAGAACAAGGGCAGGCTGCCGCTGCAGGCTGGGGCTGGCAGCAACACTGGGCTCTTCCTGGGGGGCGGGGTTGGGCCGCACTGCACTTGGGGCAGGTGGCAGCGATGCTGGGAGAGCGAATTTTGCGGTGGCTGCAGTCCCCCACCCAATACCACCACCCCGTACCCCAAGCGCAACACGGCCCAGCTTCCTGCTGAGAAGAGCCTGGTGCCACCACTGGCCCCAGTCCACAGCAGCATCCTGCATGCACATCTGGGGGCCCATGCCCCCTGGGGAGAGCCTGACACAGCCCCCCAGTCCACATAGCAACAAGAGCCGCAGCCCCCGTCCCATGCCCCGCACCCACTGACAGTTCCCTCTGCTTTGCTCCCTGCTGCAGCTGCCTCAGTAGTGGCCTATAGCTGCTGAACTGTGCCACGCCCCTACCCCTTCCCCTACACACTTAACTCGCATATAAGGAATTTTGGGTGTAAAAAGGGTCATCGCATAAGAGCAAATTCGTATACACAGAACCCAGATAAAGTGATGGAAACCTGTAGTAGTGTTGCCAGGTTGCTCTGTTGTTATGCTGATTCATGTGCTAGCAAATCAAGTAATCATTACTGTGCTTTAAATTATGGCTTTCCTCTCTCACAGATTTACCAGTTTTTCAAAAGCATACTTCTAGTTGTCCTGGCTAGTATTAAAACCATGGACAACTGTGCATTCTGTATAAGGTACAGATATGCAAAGCTACAGTAATTAAGCAAAGATGCAGCTATAAAAAGAAACAAACATACACTCACCTCTTTGCGCAGCCTCTCCAGAAGGTCTTTTGAAGCATGATGCAGGAAAAACTTTTTTGAAATCTTAAGGCACTCAGCTCCATTGCTGACCACACACAAATTTGGCTGATCCTCAAAGAGAAAGTCCAAGAGCCCCTTACACGCAGAAAAATAAAACCAAGCAAAAAGTATTAAAACCTAATACTGAGTTTCTAAGGAATTCTAGCAGCCATGGTCTTTACACGTTGACCTTGTAAATTCCCCTGCCACTGCTGTACCTTACCCACTTAATGGTTGTCTACACTGTTCTCTTATTTGTAACAATATTTGTCTTACATTGCAGTAAAAGCTTAGAGGCCTTGGGCAATGTGGAGCTTAATAAAATATACCAGGAGAAATTCTGGGCCCTGGGAAGTCAATGGAAGCTTTGCCACGGAGCTGATCTGGTGAGAAGTCACATCACCTCTGCAGTGGGGTGCTGAGGATTGTCACACAGAAGTATATTTCACCAGAATGCACTGGAGAATCTGGTACCAGCTTAACACAGTAAGTTTAAGAGACAAAAACCAGAGCTCAAACAGGCCATCAAATGTACAGTGCAAGATTGCTCTCCAGGAGAGTTTTAGTAGCATCTGGTTAAGCTCAGCTTTAAATGTCTTAACAGGGCTGACTTGAATAAGAACATAACTGAAATGATCACATCCACATGTTTGGAGAAGCAATTAAAGGAAAGCATTTTTTGCCACTACTTTTTATATACCACCATGTAGCTATAATGTTGGACTTCTCTAAGAACCAGTTCAATTAGAGACACACAATTACGTACTGTTCACTTTACACATTTTAAATATGTTTGGTTGCTTGGGTAGGGAACAAAGTTGTAACCACAGTCTTTTGACTTAGAGGCTAGAAATAAACATCACAGAATGGAGCAATTCAGCTGAGAAAGTAGGTCTGGGGCAGCATAGAACCCCGGGTGTTCCCCCGCACAGCACGAGTCTGAGGCAATGGGGATCACCAGCTGTTTTTCTCCCCAGCCAGCCCTGCAGGGTCAGCAGAGCAGGGAAGCACTTTTCTCCACTGACCCAGCCCCATAGAGTGGGACTGGAGCAGCTGGGAAAGCCAGAATTTCCCCCACCCAGCTAACTGATAAATCAGAATGACAGATTTCTTTAAATACACAAAACTCTTAAATATTGCAACCCACGACTGTGCCACATGCATTTTTTGAATGGCACTGAAGGTACTAGCCATCTTTCTGGGCAGCTTTCCACATGAAATACTCACAAATACAGATCCTTGCAGCAAGGTGTCTACAGCAATGATCATAGGAGTCATCATGCTGCTTCCTGACAATGATTTGCAAACTGGGTAAAAGAAAAAGAAAGGAGAGAGAAAACCATTAACTTAATGTTCATTAGGATCTGATACAATACGCATTTTGCATTATCATTTTGGGTCTCTAAAATATGTACTGCTTCTTAATTTCCTTATTATAAATACATGTTATTAGCTGGATCTTTGGCTAAACCAGCCTCTCACTGAGCACCCTTCCACCTCTCTGAATCCATGGCTCAAATTGGTCCCTATAACCTGGCTGCCTTGTGACAGCCACAGAGTTTATTAATTCTTATGACATTTGCTAATTGCCTGGGATACCAAGGAGAAACAGGTCCCAATCTGCCTCCCAGAGCAAATCAAGATAACACCACAACTGAAATACCAACATTCTGAGTGCATGGGGGTTCTTTGGAACTGTAATAGTCATAATGGGAAAACTTAGAGAAAAATCTTCAACCTAAAGAGGGGCCAAGACTTGTGTCTAGCAGGACTGGAAGAAGAAAGTGAAAGTTGACTGGACAAACCTGGTGAAGCACTTCAAGAATTTCACTTTAAAAGTGGAACTTCTATAAATCAGGTTCCCTAAATGCATCTACCTTCTCACTAGGAGGGTGGTGAAGCACTGAAACAGGTTACCTAGAGAGGTGGTGGAATCTCCATTCTTGGTTTTTAATGCCTGGCTCCAACAAGGCCCTGATCTAGTTGGGGATGGTCCTGCTTTGAGCAGGGGGTTGGACTAGAATGATCTCTTGTGGTACCTTCCAACCCTCATTTTCTCTGAATTTATGATTCTACCTCTGCCTTGTGTCTAAATTCCACTTTGAGGTCTAGAGGTGCAAAAGTAGCTTAGGCCATGTCCACACAGAAACACTGTAATGGTTCACTAGAGATGACAGGGTTGTAATAGGACAAGGCTTAAGGTATCTTGTTATCATTCCTGTGGCTTGAGTTCAAGCCCTGTCCTGGATTTGTGCTGAAGGTTGCTTCCAGCTTATCCAGTTATATGTGGGTACCCACTGGGTCAGGCTGGGGAATCAAAGGCAGCTGGATGTGATGCTGGCCCCATCACTCCTTTGTGTTTTGATACTAACAGATATTGACAGGCTTTAACCATTATGGGCTGCTAATCATAGTGCAGCCCTAAGAATTTGGGTTTATTCTGCTATAGATTAAGAAGTCCAAGCATCCAGATTTCATGCATTTATATCAGTATAAATGTTCATATAGCAGACTAGTTTATTCCATTTATCAAAGGGGAAGAAAATAGTGCAGTATAAGTCACTGTTACATAAATATAAATGCATCCCTGATAGTGGTAACACTAGCATAACTACTTCAAGGGGAAAAAATATCCCACCACCAATAATAACTTCAATGGCTTATCTAATGATCTAACTGAGAATCCTTAGGATGTATTCCATACTCACTGCCAGCTCCTGCTTGCATTACTCCGGTGGTGGGGAGGTCATCTTTAAAAACCTTCAGGACAGAACAACTTCCCTTTAAGGGCATTAAATGTTATTTAAAACAGGTATCATTCTGCAGTGACTCTCCAGACCTCCCCATCCCATGCCAGCTCTGAAAAAAAAAAAAAAAAAACTTACTGCTTTGACAATGTAAATCCATTTGGTCGCATTACTGTTTCTCAGAACAACTGATCCTCTTCTACAAAAAGAACAGGTGGAAATTAGCAGCTATAGAAAGAGGATGAGATTCGAGAGGTTTCAGAACTCAAATGAACAAAGGATATTTCCTAGAGGTACTACTGTAATCACTGCTGAGAGGATCCTTGCCACATGTGACATTATGTTTTAAAAAAAACTCTTTATTTGTGTTGTTGCACTGGAAAGAATATTAAAATCTTATTACTTGTTTTGTTTCCTTTGGGCATTTCACTCTGACCCACAAAGCTAATTTAGTCCGATTAAAATCCATTGCATTGCTCACGTCTTCAGCACAACAGTGACACTGTTGTGTTTGAGTCCTTTAAGTCGGTTTGACTGATTTCTGTGCTGGCTTCTTTCACAAAAACATTTCTGTTAGCAAAAGGTCAAATATGACTGGTCCTATTCAGCCAAAATAATATATATAATAATAACGAACTGCAATGGGGCAAGGCCTGAGTAAAACCAGAGGGTTTGTTCCAAAGCCTGAAGAAGCCAAGGGGAATTTTTCCACTGACTTAATGAATTTTAGATGAGACCTTGGCTAGACACAGATATTCAAAAAGCCTGACCCTGAACTGATTCAGTCTTTGCAGGTTAGTCTAACCTAGCTAGGCTGAACCGATTTCTAACCATACAGTCAATCCCTCTGGACTGAGGAAATTCAAGCACATGCCTGCAGTGGCTCAGGCTGGAAGCCCGGGGGTGCTAGAGCAGCCCTCCCTGCCCTTGCAGAGCTGAGCTGAGGGGGGGCATGGCCAGACCCCAGCAGGGCTCCAATTAGGGAGGGATGTAAATCCCCAGCCTGCCTGCAGTCCCAGGCTTTTCTGCTCACTGCTCAAGGGGCAGGAGTGTTGCCAGCCTGCAGCCCCAGGCTAGCACTCTGAGGCAAAGGGATGTGTGCACTGCATGCATCTGTTAATGATACAGAGTTTTTCACTCTCCCTCCCTGCTTCTGTATATTGTCTGCATTTCAGTAAACTGACAGGCAAGCAAGCTGGGGTTGCAGGAGCAGTGATAACAGTGATTATCACCCTTATCTCAGTGTTTATCACCCCATTAAGACTGTTGATTCTACCTGTTGATTCAGCAGGGACCCAGGTCTGTTAGCTAATACACAGACACCTCAGCAAGGCAGAGGGGAGGGGGGAGATTTCTGCTTGGCAAGGAGTGGTGAGGGGCAGAGGGGGAGCAAAAAGCTCTTAAACAGCGTTTCCACACATTTTTTCTTTCTCAGCTAAGAATGCCATCAAGAGGCTTGGTCTGAGCGGCCAAGTTTTCAGCATGAGACATCTGACGAACAAGTGTGTCAGTGTCTGGACGCTCATTAAGTGCTATGAACAGAGCCAGCTGACTCGTCTTGCTATGTGATAATTGCAAATCCCTTGACTTGCCTAACTGCGTATCACAGATATCAGGTTTGATCACAGTTTCATTGAACTCATTGGAACTATTCTCACCGTCTTCAGGGAGCATTTGATCAAGGCCTTTGTCTACTGTGGAGAGAAAACATTAACATTCTAAGTAAACTTTAATTTTGCCAAATGGTTTTAGCATGCACCCACCTGTACATCCACCTTTCGACAGTGAACCTGCAGTCACATTTGCATAAGAAGACCCTGCAGCCAGGGAGATCTCAGTTCTGCACAGGAATCTGCCCAGGGAGATCTAGATGCGGGATGAATGCAGGCCTCAGGGGCAGGGAATTTCTGTGGTCCCAATTCTGACAATACCTGCTTCTAGGCATGGTGCTTATTACTATGGAGTGAGCCCACTGTAGTTACCGTTCATTTTGAAAACATAAACAATCTTAATAGGAAACGTTTTATAACCATGTGAATTACTCGAAGTAATGCTGATGCTCTACTCTGAATGAAGTTTCCTCACCTGTAGTGGCAGACAATGTATTTGCCAGGGTTGCCTTCCAAAAGATGGACCGGCCAACCTTCAAAACACTGAAGGCTTCTAAGCAAATCAAAGAGAAGCCATAAAGATGAGCACAGCTGCAGAAGTATAATGACATCAGTACTGTTAGCATTCCACAATACACCTGTTCATTGTATGGAGAGCTCAGCAACACGATAGCTTAAAAATTCTCAGATCCTCAAAACCTGGGTAATCCCATGTAATAAAAGCCTCACGACATTTACTAAATGGCAAATGGTTCATCGTTAATAATTACTAACAGCAGTATTACTTATATGATGCCTTTCGTATAAAGATCTTGGAGCCTGGACAAATAAGACTAAGTCCTCCTGAGAGACATCATTATTATTATGTCTACCTGTACATGGCAAAAATAACATACAAAGCTATTAAGTGACTTGCAAAAGGAAATGATGGGAAGAGAAAAGCAGCAGGTCTAAAAGACAATAGTGCTTTTCTGAAATTCCCCCAATTAACAGCACAGATCATTCACCATGGAATATTCGATAAATCGAAATGAAGTTCTTGCACCATACCTCAGAAACAGCAGCTGCTCAGGGTCCCCAAGCACCTTTCTTGCATCAGACAGGAAAATTCTAATGAAGTCCTTCATTAAAAGATTCAAGGTGTTTTTAAATGTTTTAAAACAAGAAACTCTCTCACTTTACCTAAACGCATTGCCTTTCTTATCTTAAAATGCTCCCTCTAAGCTGTTGATAAAAATGGTAAGTAGCAATCATGTTATCTGAAGAACAGATCTAGGCCCAGCCACAAGAGTTTAAGCAATATTTCCTTTGCAGAGGGTTTCCTCTCCTTTCATGATATTTCTGCCCCCCAAAGCAAAGAGAACATACTGCAGTGACTCCTTGTAAAACATTCTACTGTGTAAGTGTTGAGCGCATCTCAAAAATATTAATGATTGAACTTTATAGCCTCTCCTGCAAGATAGAGAAGGTTTGCTGTCCCAAAACTGAAGCACAGACATTACATGTGGGTTTTCAAAGAACTGTAAAAGTGAGACACCCACCTTCTATTGCAATGTCATGGTATTTAGGTACCTGGCTCCCTTGGAATCTTTTGAAAATCCCATTTTACATGATTTACCGAGTGTAATAGTAAGGTTGCAGAAAAGTTAGGGAAAGAACAAGATTTCCTGATTTGAACTTCACTACAATAATAACCATTACCCATCCTGATATGTTTACAAGAAAGTGACCAACTCGAGGGTTACCACTATTTATACCTATGCCCAACCACACTTCAGAAGTACTTCGAAGCTGAGTGACCTTAGCACAAAGTCCATCACACCCACACGCCTTTTAACCTGCCCTCTGTTAAATTATTTTGGATCTTTCTCCTGTTTTGTCTTCCCCCTGTTTTTTAGGCTTTAGTCTCTGCATTCCAGTCCTTCTTGAAAGCTGATATTTTCCACAAGGCTTTCAACAATGATCAAAGGATAAAGTGCCAAATGGGACACTTGCAAAAGTGAAGTTATTGCAATGCAAATCCAAACATGGCCCCTGTTCCTGCTTTAACAGATATATCCAGACTGAAGAGTGTATGGGTTTGTTTCATGGCAAGTGCCTGTTTTTCATTTCAAATATACAGTGCTGTGTTAATTGGTATTCTATACCCATGCAACAAATAGCACTCTGCTTATTCACAAGCATCAAGGCCCACTTTTTTAGAGGTATGTCTATGTATATGCATAGCCAGTGCCTGCACACTCATTATGACTTATGCACAAACGCAAGGATGTTTTCCTCAAAATTTAAGACAGATATTTTAGTTTACCACAGGCTGTTTTCATGTGTGGCAACTGATGCCATACACACATGACTTGCAAGTACTTGATTAAAAAAAATACTGTGTCAAATTCATCCTTAATCCGGTCGCTGATTTTACATCAGAGATTAATTTGGCCCACTGTATCTTAAAGCCCCAACATCACTGGTGGATAGCAAAGCCAGAGCTGGGAACATTTTCAAAGACAGAGGGGAGAAGGTTATGGTTGCTTATTTATCTGAACAATCAAAGTCTCTGGGGCCTTCAACACTCGGTGACTTGCATGGAATTCCTGAGTTTCTGGGTTGCAGTGAGGCTAGGAATGCCACAAAAATAACATTCATTACAATTTTTGGGAATGGCTACATCCCTTCCCAGCCAAATCCCAGAAGTACAACAATCTCTAAGAATGGCAGAAAGAAACGTAATGTAAACATCTTCTGCCTTCAAAACTTAAGCGCCTGAAATTTGAACCAAACACCTGTGGAATTCATGCTCCATCCAGGTTCTATCATTGTTGCACTGCATATGGCTTGCCAATCATAAATTATGTTGTACTGACTGAAATAGTGTCATCTTACGCACTGGACACACCCAATGCACATCACTAATTCAAAGGACCCAATTATGTGACAGAAAGCATCAGTTAGTGTTTTCTCCACTGGTATCCAAGGCAGTTGTATAGCAGATGCACATGCATACGCAGATGGACCACAATTTCAAAGCATAGGCCTTGAAAGCAATATTAGTGGTGGTAACTTCTTCTGCACATAAAGCCATCTTTAATATGCCTCTGAATGCAGAAGGCCCCTCAACTGAACAAGAATGAGTGGATGCAAACAGGTGCAATATTTGGTTCAATGTGCTTCCACGTGTTTGATTTTAAGAAATGCTTACCTCTTGGTCAATGCAGAGAAACTCAGCTGGTTCCTGAATAATAACAGTTCCCTGCCAGGGGTCACCATTTATAATCTCTTGATCCTGAAAATCAAGATAGAGATGAAAAAGGTTGAAAGTTAAGATGTTTAAATTTTTTCTCTCTGCCTTTTGCATATAATTAACCAAATAAAAATATACTTGTTAATTTTAAAAAATCAGTATGTTTTATCCCACAGTACAAGAATCACTGCACAGCTGAAATAAAGCTATCAGTGGGACACAAAGTAATACTCAACTGGCACATAAAATGCTGCGTTATAGCGCCAAGGAGTAAAATATTGGCCAAGGACATTTGGAAAACCCCCAGCTCTTAAGAAAAGTATGTGGCCCTTTCAATATGCACAAGTACACAGGATCCCAGTGTTATGTCTCATGAGTACAGCATATACAGTAAGTTACATGAAACTCAATTTATCTGCTTCAGAACAACCAGAGTGTGTGTCCTCCCTGTCTGGAGTTGATGCTTTCTAAAACCAGATGCACTGTTTTGTTCTGAAACTCACCCCAAATGCATCCCCTTGACTAAAGAACCAGGCAGGCTTTAAGTGGCCAGTGTCATGGTTCTTCCTGATAACTGTTGCTGCAAAATAAAACATCATCTCAAATTAGCTGTTACCTAATGAAACAAACAGGGACATCTTAGGCAAACAAGTCACAAACTCTGGGCATTTTTCTAAAAGCTGTTTGAAAATAAGGTGTTAGGGTCTTTAAGTTTGAAAGATACACATATCTTTACCCGAACTGCTACAAGCTTTAACATGAGACTCTCAAGGCAGTCAAATCTAAAACGCATGTTTTGAAAAAAAACAAAATGCAGGTGTGGTGTGTGGAGTTGGACAGTATCACAGATTGTGTGAACATACCATCACAGTTTGCTTTTGAACTTTATAAAATGGCACAGACTGACTCATCTAAACAACACAAAAGGTCTGGAACATTTCCTCATAGAGTATGCTGGTGTTAAAACCTTAAGGAAGAATTACTTATGTAACACAGGCACATCCTGGAAACCAACAAATATGCAGTTGACGAGACTCTTAAGTGAGTGGCAACATATTTCAGATAGCCCAAGAGATTTCCAAGGAAACACAAGTGTAAATACTGCCCTGCTGACTTGAGGAGAGGTTCAGTTCTAACTCACTGAATTACAATTATTTTTTTAAAGAATATGCAGGACACACAGCTCGAATATGCAGGACACACAGCTCTTTCACTGTTACTAGCTGTAGGCAAATTATCATGAGCAAACACAGAATGCATATTCCCCAACCACAGATGCCTAAGTAATGGTACAAGAAGAACATTTAAAATGTGACAGCTTGATATTCCAGTCCTTCCTTCTATCAGCATGTGTGCATAAATTTGAGTGCACAAAATTTCTCACAGATTTACTGAACATTATCTTCTTTGTAATCCGGGGGCAGAAGAGGGGGATAGGTTTCAATGACAAATTACCCAAAGAATCTTGTCTGCCTAGATGCCACATTGCAAATCACATGGCAAAGCTTTCTTTTCATAGAGACAGATCTTGCAGGAGGCAGAACACCATGGTGTTCAGCACCTCACAGGATCCCAGCCAACGCAATCTGGTTGGGAACTCAAGAGAACACAAGGGTGAGTTTTTTGAGAAATGGAGAATAAAGCAGATTTAAACCAAGGGACCTGTTGTAAATTCTAAAGGATCCCACTGCAAGTGAGGTTTCAATCTTCTCTCTACCACAGCTGGAACTCCTGGAAGAGTTAATGCTTTGTAATCATTATATAATCCTTAGTTTTTTCCACCAATAAAAATTCTGCTGCCCCATCTGTTTTTGAAAAAGGCAAAGAAACTTGATATTGTTCCTGATCAAAGGAGTCTCTCTGTCAGCACAGCAAAGCTGGAATGAAGGAAACATCCCTTCCCTTAAGTAACACTGCTACCTCTACTTGCATAACTCCTTTAAAGTCCATTTTAAAATGCTGTAGGGTGTCAAAGGTGTCAAAAATGAGTTGGACCACAGGGCTTCGCTACACAGCTGCCGTCTTGGATCGGTACTGTCGTTCTTCACCATCCTGTTAATACATGCTGATCTGTGACTGAAAACCTGAAATTCTTGGGGAGGAGAAGGAAGCATTAACCACCTACATGCCAGCCCTGCTAGCAGATCAGAGAGCTGAGAAAAGCAGCCCCATAGGTCAGTCAGAGGTGATATGTCCCTACTAGACAGAAGCCCTGCAGACCAGATGACCAACATCTACAGGCTGGATCCAACTTGAAGGCCAAATGTCTGACACTCCCCCTGCTACAAAACAGCACTCTTATAGAGAGAGAAGGGGGGAAACACTGCACACCCGTCCCATAAATAAGATGAACCTTAATTTAATTTGCTTCCCTGGAGCAAAGCAATAAATACACACTTACCAGATCCCGAGAGACAGATATAGAAGGAATGTGGAGCATAGCCCTGTTGGATCATTACTTGGCAGGATTCGTATCTGGAAAGGACAGATCCCATGAACATAAGTAACTGTTCACCAATTTTGTGCCAGTCCCAAACTGTTCTTAATATCTCAGGCCTTCAAAGCCTTAAATTCATTGCCTTTGGGCTTGTCTTTTGCATAGAGCAGCACAGTGGAACAGAGAACTGGACTTCAACTCAGGTCTGGATTTAATCCTCAGCTCCACTACTAACCTGCATAGTAGTCTCAGACAAATTACTCTGCTTATGCCTCAGTTTCTTCACATGTAAACTGGAGATAATGATACTGACCTCAGTGATAAGCTGCAAAATCGGATACAGATTTGGATCCTAATCCACACACATTCAACGTTCAGGAGCAGGGGTAAGATGGTTGAAATCTAGATTCCACCCCATTGCTGCTGGCTTTACAGCAAAACTATAGTGAATAGCTGTGTTCAGTGCAACAGGCTCTAAGTTGAAAGTGGCAGTGCAAGTGTTTCTCTCTAGCACAGAAAAAGTGTAGTCTCTATGCAAAACCATCAACCATGGTAAAAACCAGTTTTGGGATGCTTTTCTCTTTTCCCAGCAGCAACTCTAAGGTATTCATTATCCAACACAAACCAGTTTAGAGGTCAGTTCCTCCCTACAATTACTCAGATGACTGCTGTCCTAGATAACTACCTTTTTGCCTCAGTCAAACTGACCCTGACTTTACCGAGCTGATGTCTCGCACCAAAGAGTTAAACTCAGTCATCATTACCTGGAGTACCATGCAACTTTTGCTACTTCCTTCTGAATCCTGGTGGAGTAATTTCCAAATGCCTTTACAGGTTGCAAGGTAATTAGCATGTAGCTAATGTCTTTCTCACTTCGTTCCTGTGGGCACTGATGAAGAATGCAGATGGCACGCTGAGAAATCCTGGCCTTCAAGACGGGAAAGACAGTTAATGTACAGAAACCAGAAAGGTTCCCCTCTGCATAGATGCTATTTAGGTGTCAACAAACCAGTATATTGCAGTCAGGCCCGTGTCACTGAACAAAACGTTGTGGTTATAGTTAATTATAACAAAAACAGCAGCTAGTTTCTATGCTGAATTTTTCATCAGTAGATCTCAAATCTCTTTACAAAGCAGGAGGTATCATTAATCCAATTTAGTAATTTGGGAAAATGAGACAAAGAGCTGGGGCTTGATTTGGTCTATGTTTTCCCAGCAGCTCAGTGGCAAGCCCGGTATAGAATATCTTAACCCCTGTGTCCAGTCCTTCCACAGTGAAGTGATACACTAGACATATTTCATCTCCTTAGGAGACAGTTATCTTTTTACAGTTATTTTCAAAATAGGGTGGTAAGCAGTAAAGGCTAGCCATACTGGTTATAATATATATATGGTTTGTTCAAGTGCCAGACTGTGGTGGATTTATTAATTTTATTGTTAATTACCTTTTTATGATATACTTTGCATTTAAGTCAATCTAATGCACCACCTTATATAGATTTAATTCATTCTACAGAACTCAAACAATTGAGTTTAAGGAAAAACTTCAGGGAATACAGTGATCTGTATCTCCCATTCACTACCATGTGAACTGCATACATAGGTGGAGGGAAAAAAAAGACAAAATTTAGAGAATCCTAGGAGCTGCAACTTTGACAGCTTCCTTAAAGCCTGAAAGATCTATGCTTAGGTTCAAGCGTTCCATTCAAATTCAAGGGAAATTTTTGTCTCTATATAAACCAGTTGATTAGGTTGGTCTCACTAAAATTATGCATGTGGGAGGATTTGGTCCAAGAAGTGGTGAGTCTGCCATTCTCATTACCTGTTTCTTAGCCCTGAATAATGTCACATCAAAAAGAATCTCTTCCTGAGACTGTTCCATGTGGCTTGAGCTGGGCTGCCATCTCCTTACTCTCTCAATACCATAACTGAGGTTGGCCCTAACAAAAAAAAAAAAAAAAAAAAAAAAAAAAAA